TGCACATGGTGCATAGACACAGATGTAGACAAAACAATTCTACACATAAGATGAATCTTTAAAAAATATTTTAAAACGAGCCGGGCGGTGGTGGCGCACGCCTTTAATCCCAGCACTCGGGAGGCAGAGCCAGGCGGATCTCTGTGAGTTCGAGGCCAGCCTGGACTACCAAGTGAGTCCCAGGAAAGGCGCAAAGCTACACAGAGAAACCCTGTCTCGAAAAACCAAAAAAAAAAAAAATTTAAAACAAAATCATATGGAATTTTTTCTTTAAAAAGTTGAAATATGTAATAATATGTATTGATATCACATTACTCAGAACTGTTGATAACTGTACTTTTTTAAATTTCATTTTGTTTTGAATTTTGAAACAGGGTCTCACTATGTTGTCTAGGCTGGTTTCCAAACCATGGGCTCAAGTGCTCTATGTGCCTCAGTTTCCCTAGTAGTTGTGAGTACTGGGAACGCAGCTGGGTGCCACACCTGACTAATAACCACCTGGGAGTTTAGCTAAGCAGTACAGCATCCTCCAGCATACATAAGGTTCTGGGTTTCATCCCCAGCACTGGGAAAAAGTAAGAGATGAAAAAGAAAATGCATTTAATTATCCTACCTGACATATTGTCAAAAGTCACTAAAAAGGAAACCAATAAGCATAGATAAAACTTCTTAAAGATGTTTTCATTCAAAACTTCATATTTTAAGGATTTAAAGAACAGAGTACCTTCTAGTGCCTGAAGTTGTTAAATGGGCTAATACTTAAACACAACTTACAACTATATTGGAGTCACACGTATTTTACAGTTTAGAAGTGTTACTGCTTGTACTTTAAATGTGTGGTAATCTTTAGTATCTGTGGGAACAAGGACAACAACTCATATTTCCACTTTATTAGCATGACTCACTAAGGAATATATTATGGTTTACCAATAACATAGAAATCATATAGCCCAAGGAGGTTTTGTTGTTGCTTTTATGTTTAATAGCTATGTAAAAATACATTTGGTTTAAATGTTAGTAACATACAAATAATTTCTAAGTAACTACTAAGACTAAAAGTTACTGTTGCCAGATTGCTGTGGCTAAGCATTACATGACAGAGAATATGCACACACACAAATTCTGAACTTCTGCAATGACAATCTCAAGGAGACAACAGGAAAAACAAAAGAGGAAGCACTCGGCCCACCCATTCTTAGTATCTGGCTCTAGCGGAATGAGCCAAACTTTACCTCAGCAAAGACTTGCAGAACACGTGTTACTTCACTTCTCACAAACGACATCAACTGAGAGGCATGACCTAGGCTACTACAACACCAAATCTACAGTACAAAGGGGTAGAGATGACCACATGAATGCTATGTCCTGAGGAAGCCTAAATGAAGAGTGAAAACCCATCATAGAGGGGAAGCACGTCAAAGTTAAGCAATTTTCAAACTGTTAGTATTAACCATAAATGTTGAGCTTAAACCTCAGCATCCTGTCAGGATACAGAACCATTGGCCTAGAAATACTCCTAAATACTGCTTAACTTATTTAACTCAAAACTAATCTTACTGGATATATACTTTTTAAATTTATTTGTGTGAGGGAGACACCAAAGGGACACCATGAAAGAGGGCTCTTTCCTTCCATTACATGGGCCCTGGGGATGAAACTCAGGTCATCAGGCTTGGCAGTAAATGCCTTACCAGATGAGCCATCCTGTCAGACCTGATGAATACTTCTTAAGAGACTTCTTTCAACTTTACACAGGAATGGATGAAGTACTGTTACTTTTGTGCTAAAGATATAGATTCTGAAAAATCTCCACTTAATGAAGAACTAAATTTTAACAGTTGAAAGGAAATTTAACAATCGATTTTAATCCAGATTTTAACCCAAAGCTAGATTCCAAAGAAATGCATTTAACACCAATCCATTAGGAATTTACTACAGTTTACTGCAGCTAGAGAGAGTTTTGGTTAAGAGTGCTTACTGCTCTTGCAGAGGGATAAAGTTTGGTCTCCAGCACCTACTTCAGGCAGCTCACAACCAACTGAAATTCCAGTTCCAGGGGATCCCACTCCTCCTGGCCTCTGCTGCAACCTATATGCACGCGGTACACATAGTCAGGCACATAAACACAATTAAAAACTAATTTTTAAAAAAGTTCAGTGCATTAAAGACTCAATGTTGACTGCTGGAGGTGACACAAATATGCTTAAATCATAACTTCCAACAAAAATTCTATAGGATGTCCCAAGGACTTATGGGCTGTGAAACAGAATACCACACCCTAAAAATAAAGTTCTAAGACAAGAGCAGCAGCAGGGGAAATCCCTTCAGAAAACATGGACATAGTGTCTGGGCTAAGCAAAGAACACGGACTCAATTTGAGGCATGTCACAAAGACAAGACAGGAGTTTCAGGCAATGCAAAAGGGCTCCACTTGGGTGACCTACACAACAAAGGCCATTTCCAACCATGCCTCCCTGACAGTCTCCCCTCGCAATGCTTGTATTCTTGATGGTCATTCTCCAAACATTCAACCATCCCATCCATCCGGGCACTCGTGTATCTCTGCCTGGAATGCCCTTCCCCCAGGTATCTCTCTGCAAAGTTGCTTTTCTTACCACAGTCAATATTGTGCTGAAACACTACTTCCTGGTGAGAATGTCACTGGCTGCAGTATTTTAAGTTATCATCCTCACACTCCCTACTTGGCCTTGCTTTAGTTTTCCACACCATTTATTATTAATACCTGTGATATCATATAGGCCATTTATTAGCCATGCCTACACCCCCCTACAAGGCAGGAAGTAGATGTGTTTCTCCATTTACAGTGCCTGCATGTGGCAGACATGAAGTAAAGATTTGGTGACAAGCGGACAATGGAATAAATGAGCGAAAAATAGTATCTGCCCTCACAAGGGTTATGGTCTAGTGCAAGAAGCAAAGAAATAAATTACTTTCAATTATTTCTGAAAGACAACTTAGCACATGGTTGGGAAAATCCAATGTGTAACGGCTGACCCAGAGAAAGTTTCTGGAGCACCACCTTCTTTCTACACAGCCAGCATCCTTTTAAACACCATCCAGTCTCAGGCCTCCAGCAGCACGGTCACTCAATGACCAAAAAAGTGCCACACAGCTGCTTCAGCTGCACAACTGTTTCCACAGTGGCCTTCAATGCCACCCAACAATGAAAGGTCAAAGACAGTTCTACTCCCGCTGTTGGACAAGAGGAAGTTGTATTTCTAGATTTCCAAGTTAAATCCACATTTCATATGGCTTAAGTCTACCTACAGTAGAGATGACTATGAAATCATGGATTAGCCAAGGGACCTATAATGTTTAATAATTAATTTTATACTAGTAGGGATTGAAGCCAGGACCTTGTGGACATGAGACACACTCTCACTAGCCCACCTTTTACTTTTTATGTTGAGACAGAGTCTCACTAAATTGCACAGGCTGGCCTTGATCTCAGTAGCCCAGATCTTGAACTTCCAATGCTCCTGTCTCAGCTTCCTGAGTAGCTGGAATTACAGGCCTTCACTACCAGGCCAGACAAATTACTAAATTTCAATGTAGGAAAAAACCCAAAACTCTTCAGTGCGGTTTCACTCTTGAAACATACCTTTTCTACACAACAAACGGACTCAACAAGGACTAGTTTACATTTTAGACAATCAGGTAATGTCAAGCTAATGCATTGTTTTCCTCAGAAGGAACAACTAGAATTTTATTTTGGATTCAAGAATAATCTAGACTTTTTAAACAGACCATTAGCATTTAAGTTATACTACACTAAAAGCCACACAAAAAAAGTGGAGCAAAGTGTTCTTTATCATCAGAGAAAGCAAAGCAACTTAAGGAAAGGAAGCAGCTCATTTCTCACTTCAACCAACACCTCCACAGACTGCATTATCACTTTAGGCAAACTGACATTTTCACGTTTCATTTTTAATGGCAGGAATAATTTCCATCTGGGGCCATCCGCAGAAAGGGTTGGTGCTGGCACATTTTCAACGCTAAATTCAAAGTCCATGTCTGGCTATAAGCAAAAACGCCCCAAGACAGCACAACAGCCACAGAGCTCACATTCATCCTACAAACGACAGCTCAGTCTATGACCTAGCGTGAGTTTTGCCCTCAGGTAAGGCATAGGAGCCTACTACCTCTCCTCAATCCTTTACAAACTGTCTTCACGACTTGAAAGTTATCTGTTCCTAGCAATATTAAACAATGTTCACAGTTCTAGAAGAGAACTTTCACAGATGCTATTTCGTTTAAACTAAAACTCAGGGCAAATGAATGCCCTTCTGTTTTGATTGAAAAAAAAAAAAAAAAGAAAAGTCACACCAAAATGAAATCGTTAACTCCGAGACACAGAATCCCTTTCTGGATGGGTCAACGACTTAGGCTGCCAGTTATTTCAAGAGTAAATTCAGACAGTAGGTTAAAAAGCCCACTAGCAACGTCAGGTCCCCACCGAATTTTTTTTTTCAACAGCCACCTTGGAAGTCATACGAGGCTTCTGATGCTTCCATATGGAAACGGACCGGCCAGGGCGTGCGGCGAGCCAAAGTTGCTGAGCTCGGAGAGGATTAGGGCGGACACAATGGCCCATCTGTCCCCCGGGCGACAGAAAAGCAATCCACCTGGCCGGGCTGGGCGACAGGGCATGGGACTCGGGAGCCGGGCTGGACGCCGGCTACCCGGCTGCGGGCGCTCGACAGGAAGCAACGGCGCTGCCGCGGTGTGGGGCTGAGGGGCCGGGCAGGTGGGCAGCGCCCCTCGCGGCGGCACCAACCGCCTCGCCCACAGACGGCGAGCTGCCGGCGGGGAGTGGCAAGCGGCTCCCACCGGCCGGGCTGACAGGCAGCGGGGCGAAGAGTCGGACGCGGGGAGGGCCGCGGCGTCGCGAGGGTCGCTCTGGGGAAGGCGCTGGGCGCTGCCCTGCGCCGGCGCTCGCCCTCTTCCCCCCCGGGGTCCGCGGCAGGGGCAATACTCACATAGGGCTGGTAGAACTTGGAGAGCCGCGGCTTCCCGTGGTTGTTGAAGATGAGGATGGCCTTGATCATGGCTGGGCCGGGGCCGACCGGGTGGGCGCTGGGGCCAGGGCGGGGGCGGGCGCGCGAGCCTCGCCTCCGGGAGCTTGCTGCCACTGCTTCCCCACCCGCCCCCTCCCGCGCACGCGCGCGCGCGCGCTCCCGCGCGGCGGGGCGGGGCCTGGAGGCGGGGCCTGGGCGGGGCCGGCCAGAAGGAAACGGAAGCGGCTCCCGGCCGGAACCAACTTGCCGGAGGAGGAGGAGGGGGGGGTCCGTGCTCATCTGGTGGCGCACGGAGGCTCGTCTCGGGAGCATTCCGGAAGCTCGCTGCGGCTAGATGGCACTCAGTACTCCGTTAAATATTGTGTTTCCAACAGAGCATCTGTGTGTGATGCTCTCCAGACACCCCAAAGTTCACTGTTGGCTCGGGCTCCCCCCACCCGGCGCCTGCTTTGCGACCCTCCGGGGAGCAAGGCCCAACCTCTGCGGCGTACGTCACTTCCGCCATCGACTCTCAGCGAGCAAGATGGCGGAAGATCCTGAGGCTGTGCTTCAGCTCCCTTCTTCAGCGGCCGCGGCTGGCGGCGAGAGCCTTTCGGAGCTCTCCCCCGAAATAGCCACCCCGGAGCCCCCATCTTCGGCCGCAGTCTCGCCGGGAACGGAGGAACCTCCTGGTGACACCAAGAAAAAAAGTAATGTCAACATCCGTTTGTGGGCGGAGGCAGGAGGTTTAATAGCGTTTCTAAGAGTGGCAGCCCATAAAGTAGCAAAAGCTAGAGAAGGGCGCGCCCCAGAGGTGCACCTCTGAAAACCGAGCACAAGTGCTTCCTGGTGTTCACGCCTTTTGAGTGCCTAGGTGATCCGGGTGGTACCCGGGTTCGCCATCCTTCGCTCCTTTTGCGGCGTCTGGTCTTTGAGCATTTTGAAGGTGGGAGCGGAGCGAGATCTCGGTAGCTCCAGGTACTTAACGCAAGACTAGTTACTGGAATAAAGATTTAAGGTGACAGCAAAAGTGCGTTACAATCCACGAATTCTGACGAGTTCGCTATTGGCGTCCCCCTCCAACTGAATATGAGTTCATTCTTTAGAACAAAAAACCTGGAACTTCAGATACTGTGAAGAATGCTGAGGGCAAACTAAAGGCATAGGTGTTGCCTTTTTATTAACTTTTTATTTATTTGGGATGGGGACCATTCCTCTGTGCGACATTGAATTTCTTTAACTAGCTACCCTCAACCTATGTGTTGCCTTAGGGATGTGTTTGCCACTGGAAAGTAAGGAAGTTCAGGTTAACTTGCCCTGAACACGACTATAAGAAAATATCAGAGAATAAACATGTATCAATGGAAAAGATAGACCTTGTCCCTGTGTTCTCCCTTCCGGAGACATAAAATGTAGATCTGGATGTGTTTTCTGCTCGTTAATCTCACCAATTTGTTGAAGCTGCGTGGGAGGAGAATTGTCTCCTAGCACTGCTCTTGGGATATGCAGGTGTATGTAACTCAGTAGTAGAACACTACAAAAGGTCCAGGGTTCGATTCCCAGCTCATCAAGAAAGAATAAAAAAAAAAAAAAAAAAAAAAAAAAAAACAGACTGACTGCGTTTGGAGGGAATCTGCCGTGTATATATATGCTGTACTGAGTATTTGGACAGATAGATAACCACTGTCAATTTAGAAAAAAAAAACATAGTATTTTTTTCTTCCAGCTGACTTTCAAAGGTTTCCTTTAAGATGGAAGCACCAGGCTGAGAGTGGTGACATGCACTTTTAGTTCCAGCACTCAGAAGCCTGAGGCAAGCAGATCTCTGTGAGTTCAAGGCCAGCCTGGGCCAAAAATAAAAGAATTCTGTCTAAGTCAAAGCTTTAGTCCTTTACACTGATGATTGCTGTAGAAAAACAAACAAACAAAAAACTAGAAATGACCCATAATCCAAGATACCGCCTGAGATGACTGTTTATTTGGGTCTCCATATTTTCTTTCTTTTTTTTTTGACAAATTCCTATTTTTATCCTTTTGTAGACATTTGATGATGAGATATTTCACATTTCCACTGTAATATACAGAAGGATTGCTGAAACAGACAAGTTACTGGCTGGCCCTGGTGACATAGTATTACAGGCTTCCTTCCATGCCAAACTTGAATACCCATGCTGAGGTCCGACTTTGCAAAAGATTTCGATTGCTGTGTATATTAACTGTTCTCCAGTTGATTCTAATGTGTAGTCAGGGTTCTGAGCTACAAGCAAGTCATTTTGGGAATTAAGACTACAGCTGTAATTACTGTGTAATTACTAAAAATTACTACGTCTCTAGCTTCTTGCCCTCTGGCTCCTCTTTCTTTAGTAGTACAACTCAGTGCCTAATTGCTGCCTAGTTATTGATTGCTCCAGGGGGTTGAGAGAACTGGGGAGGAAGGTATGAAAGATAGGATAACCAAAATCACCTTTATGCCTTCCTCACTCATCCTTATTCCCAAATTAACTGAAAGGACACTTACATAGTTATTTTCCAGGAAGATAAGCTGCATCGTATGTTCTAGGTTCCTGTATTTCATTTCAGGAGGAAACTTGATCTCCTAGAACTCAGGCTATAGACCAGGCTAGCCTCAAACTCCCAGAGATCCACCTGCCTCTGCCTCTGCCTCTGCCTCTGCCTCCTGAGTGCTAGAATTAAAGGTGTATATTGCCACACCTGGCGTCAGGAGGAAACTAAACTTGAATAAATTGATCCCAACTCTGAACACATCAAACAAATGGGGCAAGAGTGGGATAGCCACTTTCGGGGCGGCTTTGGTCGTAGGTGTCTCTTGAGGGAGTTAACCTTCATTAAAGAGATCAGTCTTGGTTTACATATCTGTGTTTTGAATCATTGAAATGTTACTTCTCTCCTTGAAACTTCTTCGGGGCCCCTGATTGTATTTTTTTTTTAAGGTTATAGTTTTGGGTTTTTTGTTTTGTTTTTTCACTAAAAGGTTAAGTATAGAAAATTTCATATTCACAAAAAGCCATATATCACTACTATGAAGTAACATTTTGATGTATACTCTATATTGTGAATGTGTATGTGATACTTTCTTAATGAAGTTGGGGTTGTATACACACAGTCTTTCTATTTTGCACATTTTGTCAACTTCTTAAACTATTAACTGCTTTTATAATGTGTTTTTTGAACAGCTATTTAATAATCTCAAGGTTCTGTTAGTACAAGTTATCTCTGGGTACTGTTTACATTAACTGACTTACTCCTCTTATCAACCCTCTGAGGTAGGTGCTGTTACAGGGATTTGAGAATGAAAGATTGCAGTGCTTGTAGATCTACAAGAGACAGAACCACCATTTGGACCCAGTTTGGAACAATGTGTCATTTCTCTATAAAGTCTGCCATAAAATATATTTCATTTAATCCCTTCTACATATATGTGTTGAATATGTAAATTTACTGCTTTTTTCCTGTAAAAATAAATGCTTTGATGAAGGTAACATCCTTCTACATGAATCTTTATAAATCTCAAGGTTTTTTAGATTTTACGTAGTATATTATTGAGTCAAGGTGTATCTTCAAGTATCGGATAGGTATTACTATATTGCTTTCCAGAAAGGTATGCCATGTTAAAGTGGCAACAGCAGCATTACTGGCACTACCACCCTATTACCACCAGTTCGGTAGGTGAAAAATACATGAGTTTTTTTAGTTGACTGTTTGAGCATTGTTTTATATCATGGGCCAGATCTATTTCTTATCTTTAGAATTCTGTTATGTCAAAATGTTGTCTTAAAGATTAATCTCTTAGGAAGAACTTTGTAAGGTCAAGAAGGAAAATAGTGGAGAAGAGTCTAATGTCTTTATATCTATGACATAACTCCAGAATAATAATTACATAAAATACGTAGATAAAAAGTTTGTATTCTGAACTGTTTCACATCACATTCTCATCAGATGTTTCAATATTTTTTTTTAAGTTGACATCCTGCTAAAGGCTGTAGGAGATACCCCTATCATGAAAACAAAGAAATGGGCTGTAGAGCGAACCCGAACCATCCAAGGACTCATTGACTTCATCAAAAAGTTCCTTAAACTTGTGGCCTCAGAACAGTTGGTATGAAAACAGTATTGATTATTTGCCTATAAAAATTCACAACAGGTCCTAGGCAACCATGAGTAACACATGTACATACAAAGCTACACATTACTTTTGTTACATGTACTTTATCAGAAGATTCTTTGAGGCACTCTGAAGTGAAATGAGTTTAGATTCACTTTGCTTTCTAATAGAGTTGTTTGTTATTATGTTTATCTCTGGTGGGCGTTGGAATGTGCATGCAGTAGTCAGAGAACAATGCTTGGGAGTGGATTCTCCGTCCATCATGTACCTGGAAATTATCTCAGGTCATCAGTTTGGCAGGAAGTGTGCTTACCCCAAGCCCTTAACATCATGTATATTATTACTGTTAGTTCTTTCCTAAAGCATGATCTTAATCAGTCTTACCAATGAAAACCAGGAGTCAAATATCGGGGTAATAACCAAAAGATCAGAGAAGCAGAGGAGCAGCCACCCGTGACTTCTTACCTCTCCAGATCCTCAGACCGAAAGGGCTGAGATCCTGTCTCCACTGCCTTATATTCCTGTGCCGTGATTATTTAAAGGTGTGAGCCCTGCTTCTGTAGTTAACTCCTGGCTAACTCCGCCCTCTGATCTGCAGACAAACTTTGTCAGAACACAAACAAAATATCACAGTTTGTTTGTTTTTGTATTTTTTTTAAAGGCTGGTGTTTTTAGTTACTTTCCTCAAAATATCACTGAATATCCATGTAGAAATATGACATAGAACATTATATTCTCTGTACATTGATACAGTGTGGCGCTTAATTTACTTTGATTCTGTATTGCTTTTGTCCCATTGTTCTTGAGGTAAGCAGTATCTCTTTCATATATTATGAAAAAACTAAGAGGCATATACCTATTTCCTGGTATACAATGTAGTACGCACTCCATTTGGGTTTTAGTTGTTATAAGGGATTTGTTTCTTTGAAGAGCCTTGGGTGTCAGGCTTCAATTGAAATCCATCTCGTTTTTGAGATGGTTTCATTGGCTCACCAAGTAGGCTAGTCTGGCTAGCTAGCAGGTCCCAGAGGACACCCCTGCCCCAAGTCTCTATCTCCCCTGAAGCTCACCAAGTAAGCTAGCCTGGCTAGCCAGCAGGTCCCAGGGGTCCCCCGTCTCTATCTCCCCATTGCTGGGATTACAAGCACGTCCTGCCATTGCCTAGCTTTTTGTGGAGTATATGAGGGATAGAACTCGGGTCTTCATGCCTGCATGTCAAGCACTTTACCAGCTGAGCTAGCTCCACATTTAACAATGGAGACATGTTGAGGAATGTATTGTTAGATAATTTTGTTCTTGTGTAAACGTTCTAGAGTATGGTTACACAAGTTAAAATAGCACATCACATGAAGACAGGATCTTATGAGACCATCATGTATGCAGTCCCTCCTTAACTAAATCATCACTGAAGTACACAGCCGTGCTTGGCATTATGTGCTATTCAGGTGTGTTTTATCTTTGAGTAGCCCCATGAGATACAGATACTGTTATTTTCAGTATCGTTTTGTGTCCATGGGATAGACCAGGAAATGTTACTTGTATTTAGGGCCAGGACTCTTAACTGTCTAATTCAGTACTGAAGGGAAAAAACTTAACCAATATTTATTGTTGTGTAAATAATTCCTGTTGCCTAGCTATTCTCATATTGTTTCTTTAAAAAAAAAAAAAAAGAAAGAAAGAAAGAGAGAGACAAGATTGTTAAGCCTAGAATATTTTGTCCTTAGATCTGGAGATGGACGTTGAATGTTACCTGCCAATTTTCTGTTTCTAAGAAGTTGATCAGAAGCCTCTCTGGCACTGTGACTTTAATATCTTTAGGAATTTTTTAAGCGCTAGAAATATTTTAATTTAAAACAGATTAAAGTTGGAACAATGAATTCTTTTATTCTGCGAGTAATTTAATACTAATGGTGTCCAGCTTCTAACTCAGTACCCCTGAAATTTTTCAAAAGTAGTAAAGGTCAAAAGAAAAAAGAAAAATGTGTGTAACATACCCAAGAAAAATACCCAATATCAAATGAATTGATTTTTACCTGCATATATTAGAAGAAATTAGAAGAAGTCTTGTATTATGACTCACTTCTTTTGGGGTAGTCTCACTGTTAGCCCAGGCTGACCTTGAACTCATGGCCAAGCCTACACACTCACCTGCTGGGATTACAATTAGGAGCTACTATGCCTAAGAGGCATTTTGTTAATGTAGTGTTTGAATATCCTTCCAAAAACTATTTGTAAAAAACTATTTAAATTGTATTTATTTAGGGAACTGGCTCAGTCTCTAAAGTATCTTCCACTCACAAAGATGAAGACCCCAACACCTATATAAACTCAGGACCCTGTGCTAGTATATGTAACCCCAGTGCCTGGTGGGGAAAATGGGCAGATTCTGGATCTCACTGACCAGCCAGACTAACCATTAGATTAGCTCCAGACTCAGAGAGAGGCTCTGTCTCAAAAAAATAAGGCAAGAGAGCCATCAAGGACACCCACCCAGTGTCGACCTCTGAAACACACACACACACACAAATATTTGAAAGTCTTAGTTATAAAAAGGATACCATTTTGAATCCATTCTTTTTTCTTCCCTGTAGTTTATTTATGTGAATCAATCTTTTGCCCCTTCCCCAGACCAAGAAGTTGGAACTCTATATGAGGTAAGTAACCTCCCCCCATGGGTATCATGTCTATTGTATAGTCTAGATTATTAATTCACATCTTTAAGAGATAGCATGCCATCTTAATTATTGATGGGAGAAGAGAACCTCGTTCTCTTAGATCATGAACACATTTAACATAGTAAGATCTTAAGTTAAGCAACAGTCAAGGAATAAGTTTCATTTAAAAGTCATCTTTTGTTTTTCTTAGAAATTTTGTCTAATCTGTATTACTTCTGTATTGTTCATTTCCACCTGTAATTGTGATCTTACTCCAGAAAATTGATAAAACTGCACTAGATGACCTTATTCAACAGTGCTGCTTCATGGCAATAATCATGAATAGATACACCAGCACTGCTGGGAAAGAGCTGAAAACACCTTAGGATCAGAGCTATCAGGAAGGCAGTGAAAGTATTTAAGCCCATACCCAAGGTACCCTGGTTTTGTTGACCATGTATAAATTACTGAGATGTGTAATAGAAAGAGGCATCTTTTGAAAGAGGTAGTATGTTACAGAACTCTTTCTTAATCTAACAAAAGCAGTGTTTAATATGTTGTCTTCTCTCTTTGTAGTGTTTCGGCAGTGATGGTAAACTGGTCCTACATTACTGCAAATCGCAGGCGTGGGGATGAGCCACAGATGAACAACTTGATATCTTCACAGAAGAAAAGGCTCAGAGAAGTGTTGATGCTGTGGGCAGAGACTTAGTGGCTATCCAATACTCAGCATGAATCTGCTATGAGCTGTGCTTATGTGTAAGAAAACATCATAGAGTAAATGGACTAAAAAATGAGATTTTGCCACCATAAAATCATGAAAGATTAGTGTGCCTATTACCCCCACACATTCCTGTTTCAGATCTGCCTCCAAGGTTAGGAAGGGGACTAGAACTCTATCTGTTGTGGTTTTCAGGATGACTGAAGTTCTGTACTTGTGGAGTTGGCACTGTGTTGTTTCCATGGTAAAAACTAATTCACTGAAGAGTTTGTATTTTGAGGTAGTTTTTTTGTTTTGGTTTTTGGTTTTTGGGGTTTTTTTTGTAACTTATTCAGGGAACCTCTGTTCAGAATATGGAATGTTTACATTTATTTGTGTTGCCCTTTGAAACCAAGTGCACTGACTTGTCTCCATGTCTTAAGTTATCCAGTAGAGGGCAGCCCAGTTGGCAAAAAGGTTTAACAGTTTTGACATCTTTGCCAGGTGATTGGAGGCTGTTGAACCTAAGTTCTAGTTAATGTATAATCAGGAGAGCAACTATGTTGACAGACTGGAAGAGTTGGAGGATGTGCATAGTTTAAAATTAATCATGCTGGGAAACAATTTTGCGGATTGTGAGCAAATGAGTCCTCAACGCTTTTCAGTCTGTCATTTATGATTCCGGAGCCTCAGCCTGGGCATCGTGATCCACACTTATAATTTCAGTGCTCAGGAAGCCTGGGAAGGAGAAGGATCAGGAATTCAAAACCAGACTGGACTGCAAAGAACTTATCCCAAACAGATTCTTCCCCACCCACCCACCCATTGTGTTCCCACTGTCAGTTATCAGTGTCAAAGGAATTGACTTAGTAAACCAGCAGCAGCAGCAGCAGGCTTTCATTCATCCCAACCTCATTTGTAATCTGTGTGCTTTTAAAGTTTGTGTTTTTGCTATGCTGGAGATCAGTGCCTTGTGCCATCGAGGCAAGAGCTCTGCGTAGCTGTGTCTCCAGCACTCCCTGAGTGTTTCATATTATGTTTTCCAGATTGAAAGCATTCAAAGACAGTGTTTTAAAATAGCATCCAATTGTTTGCGTATTTCATGCCATCACGAAAAAGAGTATGACTGTCATTGGGATCATAGACTGGTCATTACTTGAAGTGAAATTTAACTTCTTTTCATATGTGCCGTATTTGTTATGTTTTGTTTGTTTGTTTGTTGTTTTGGCTCTGCCTAGACTGGAACTCACAGAGATCTGTGTGCCTACCTCTGCTTCCTGAGTGCTGAGATTAAAGGTATGGACCACCTCGCCCAACTCCATATGTATCTAAATGTATTCCAACTAGAACTGGACATGGTAGTGCACACTTACCTAGCACTCACGAAGCTGACAGTTTAAGACCAGTGTCAGCTACAGGATGAGACTGTCTCAACAAAACAGGAAATTAATCCTTCCCCTCCCCTGAAAAAGAAAGAATTCCAATAAATTAAATGTCTAAGTACATTACAGGATTTGAAGTATGTCAGAATTCCAAGGGTTTGCTTTCAAAAGTGATGATAGAAATGTGTTTTTTATCAAAAAAAAAAAAAGACTTGAACTGTGCTCTTTTCGTTTGTTTTTGAGACAGGCTGTGTCACTCAGGCTGACCTCCTCAGGCCTCTGAGTGCCAAGCTTATGTGTGCACCTGGCTCGTTTTTAACTCTTAAATTCTTGAGTGTGCTTTACAGTAGTCCTCAGCCATGTGAGCCATGGAAGATGCTGTGTAACAGCACAGCCCAGTGCTGTTCACTTCTTGTTTCTTCTTAAGAATGTGAGTTCCAGGTGTCCCCTTTATCAGCATCACCTGGGAGTGAGTTAATACAGGTAATAGTTCACAGAGGAGTGATAGTGAGTTACACAAAATGTAGGCTCAGGAAAACACCTGACATTCTGAAAGCCGGCAAGTACTGACTTAGGAGCACTGTCAGTTGGATAGGGAAAAGATGTGTTTTACCTTTGCCCACTACGAGGTTGCTGAAAGAATACAATGGTAGATATTTAACAGGGAAATGTGTTGAATTTATTGTTTGCTGAAGTTCCAGATGACAGAGTGCTTGTTACCTCTATGAAATCAAAAATACTTGAGTTTGAATTTGTCATTTTTATCAAAATAACTTATTGCCATATTAAATCAAGTTAACTAAATATGTATACCTTATTTTCTTCCCCCAATAGCTTTGAGGGCTGTGTAGGGATTTATACTTTATCAAACTGTTTTACATTGTCTGTTGGTCTTTGCCCAAATAACTTTCGTCACTGACGTTTTAGCACTTGTAAGGTGGGAGCCCAGGATTAATGAGGTGACTAGACACTTTGAAATATCCAAGTGCCATTGAAATTTAGGAGGAAAGGGGAGTGAACCCTCAGTTTATAGTTTCAGATTTCTATGTGTGTGATAAGTGTAGTAATGTCACACTTTATCTCCCTGTGCAGAAAGGTACAGGAGCATACAAAGTATATATGACACCAAGTATATACATATATTCCACTCCTGTCCTTAAATTATTTATGCCAAGGATTTCATAATGAATTTTCAAATATTTAGAACATGCAGCAAGTTAAAGAGTGATTTGTTGCTAATGAAGGTAAGACTGAATTCTTCCTGAAGTCTGATTTCTAGAAGTTTTAACCTTAAAGGGTTTCTAACTGTTATATTCTCTAACCACATAAGAAGACTGAAAATTGTAAGCTCTGCCCTCAGATTACATAACTTCAGTCAACCAGTTGACTTATGTTTAACTTCCAGCGGGGGGTAGCATTACATATTGCAGGAGTATGGAAATGAAAATGGCTAGTTGTGAAGCTCCCATTTTATTTTCCAAGTAATGTAATATGTTGGGTAAGCTTTGGGCAGGAAGAAAGCCAGCTGCAGGCCACTTAATGACAGGAACGGTGAGAAAACTTGAGGGTTTTGTCTTACTAATGCTCCCCACAGCATGTTGTAGCCTCCACTGGATTAGGTATTCCCTGGTTTGCCTGGTCTTTGTTTCCTAGGTTCCTCCAGGGATCCACTGACACTTTCACTCCTTCCAGCCCGATGCTTTCAGGGTCTGAGTGGGATTTTGAACTCTTCCTGAAAGTCTGTGTGAGTGACTCAGGAGCTCCCCTCCTCCTCATAAGAACACCTAGGAAAGCCATGACTGTGACAGCACTTAGCTGCATCTGCCATACATGCATGCACCCATCACTCCGTGGTTATGAGGCCTGGAAATGGAATTGGGGGATGGGGTTTGGTTCTGTTTCTTTTCAGTGACTGAATTAAGAGTGATTTAATTTCAAAAGCAGCAAAGAAGAACATCTGTAGCTTTCGTATAGCAGAAGGTAACAAACACTTGCAATATATGGCGAGGTTATTGCTCTTAATGTATGGATTCATTCTGGGTAAGGCAAACACAAATCGGCAAAAAGAAAGCATGGGGCCTGGATTAGATCTCTGATAGAGTCTTGGGTTGATCTCTAGTACCCCAAATAATTAAAAAGTGAAAAATGGCTAGTTAGTATGGAAAGACCTTGGGTGATTAAAAAAAAAAATCTAAATAAAACTTCGGATGCTAATCATTACCTTTCAGTAATTAAAAGCAAATCTTGACATGACAGTGAGAAGTAAGTCTTGCTGTTCTTGGTGGGTGGAATATGGGTCCGTGCTTCAGTTTTTTAGAGAGTTAAGGTGGCAGTATCCAGAAAACCCTGAAATGAAGTGTTAGCTGTGATCCATGACACTTGTAATGGAGTAAGCAGACTTTCCTGTTTATTTAAGTCTTAAGGGTTTGGGGTGTTGGGATTTTTGTTTTCATTTTGTTGTCATTTTTTTTTCCTTGTTTTGGAAATAATGGAAAGTAAAAAAAACATTGAACAACACTGGTTTTACTTGTTTTCTTAGTTTTCATGCCTGAAAGATCAAAGGTGAAAGACCATGAGGCGACTCTTAGAATTTAACTCCCAAAGTTCCTCTTACATCATAGGAAATGAACGTGAATCCTGACATTGGTTACTTCAAGTTTCAGGGAAGCGCTGTCCAGTTTGAAATGGGTGTTTTTACAGAACGGTCCTGTAACAAGCCAATCTGCATTCCTGGCTCTCCCATGTATTTCCAGGTGCCGCTTCTGGATTCACAAGGCAGGCCATCCCTCCTTTCTCCAAGTCCAGCCTTTTAGTCTCTTCACATCTTTACTCTTCTTCCAAACCAGTTCATCTGTCTGGAGATCCTGCCAGCTTTACCTTTAGAACTTGTTAGAGCTCAGCCATTGTCTCTTCTAGCTCCTCTACCCCTGCCAAGTCCATTGATTGGATCTGCAGCCCTCCTCCCTTCTCCACAGTCTGCCAGTCACATCCAGGCTAAGCTCGTAATTCAGACATTAAGGTTGTATCCATCCCAAGGAATTTTGTACTTAGTGTCTCCAAGACAGACACACTTGACCTCTCTGGTTCCTGCTCAGACATCACATTAAGGCCATCTTACCCTGAACACCCTCTAAACTGGCAGCTCCTCACTCCCCAGCACCCCCTTCTTTCAATGTCCGCTGTGTAAGTATGCAGCCGTATCTGCCCACCTCTCCTTTTGCATTGTTCTGTCAACCCGCCCCTTAGACTATAAGCCATATGAGGACAGTGACTTAAAACATGGGGAGTTTGGATTGTGTGAACAAGCTTGCCTCAGTACATGCTTTTTTAATGTTTTCCATTCATGGCTAGACAAATTATTTCCTGAACTCTTAATACTTGTAGCTCCTTTCTCTCTGCTGTCCGAATACCAGTATCTTACAAAGCTACAATCATTGCCCTTAGCAAATCAGTACAGTAGATCTACCAGGATCTTGACTTTTGCTTATATAAATAAAAATAATGCCAGTAACTATCACAAGATGAGTTATAATATACAACTCTTAGGAAGAATTCTGTTGCCTTTTACTAAATTTGAGCTCAGACATCCAGGATCCCCAAAGGAAAACCAACAATTGGATCGTTCTAACCACTTACCCAGGTTTCTTACCACCTTTTGTGCATTCTTCCCAGCATGCACAAAGCACAGTGTGCTAGGTATTGACGGAGGTGGAGAAAGTTGCCAGTCATGATGGCCTATGTCTGTCTATAGTCACATCTAGTGGGAAGCTGGTGATTTAAGCCTCCTAAGTTCTAGCCAGCCTGGGCAGCATAGACCTAATCTCAAAAGGGAGTCCGTCTGCTGAGAAATGCCAACTCTGAAGAGGGTGATGATTACTGCTCCAATTCAGAATCAAGAGTTCACTTAGAGAAAAACAAGTGAGGGTGAGTGCCAGAATGGTCTAGCACAGTGGTTCTCAGCCTTCCTAATGCTGCAACCCCTTACTTAATACAGTTCCTTACACTGTGGTGACCCCCAACCATAACATTATTTTGTTACTAATTCAAAACTGAAATGTTGCTAGTTAGGAATCGCCATGTAAAAATCTGATATTCAGGATGTGTCATGCCCTACAGGTTGAGAACCACTGGTCTAGAGTCTAGGCAAAAGGAATAGTTGAAGTAGAAAAAGACATGGTTAAGAGTAAGAAAATTACTAATACATGGTAAAGGGTACATTTGGGGTTTTGTTTAAAGTAACTTACTGTGTGATTGCCAGGGCACACATGTGGAAGTCCGAGAACTTTGAAGAGACAATTCTCTTAATTCCTTCTTTCCCTGGGTTCCAAGGATCAAACTCAGGCCTCCAGGCTTGCATGATGAGCACCTGTATCAGCTAAGTCATCTCACCAGCCCTGCAAGATACTTTTAACAGGAAATAATAAGTGAAAGATTTTTTCTTTTCTCTACCAATCCCGATTCCTGATTGGTTTATAAGGGGCTCTGAATCGTGGTGTGGAGCCACACACCTTCAATCCCAGCACTTTGGAGGCAGAGATGGACATCTAAGAATTCAAGGCCTGCCTCATCTACATCGTGAGACCCACTCAGAAGAAGAAAGGGCTCTGAGAATGACTCAAGGAAGGAGTAGGCACTGCTGAGTTGGGTGTTTGAGCCCACTTGCCTCCATGCAGAAACAACCTCTAGGCTTTGAACATATGCTCCAGAGGATCTTGTGAAACCCTGCATTTGAGGTACCAACAGCTTTTTTTTTTTTTTTTGGTTTTTCGAGACAGGGTTTCTCTGTGTAGCTTTGCGACTCTACTGGAACTCACTTGGTAGCCCAGGCTGGCCTCAAACTCACAGAGATCCGCCTGGCTCTGCCTCCCGAGTGCTGGGATTAAAGGCGTGCGCCACCACCGCCCAGCACCAACAGCTTTTAAGAGGGTGTGCTGGTCATAAAAAAATCAGGGAGATGTGCGAGTGTGTAGATGGGCAATAAAGTCATGAACAGATGTAAAGGAGAATGTGTGTGACTGTTCGGAAAGACCTTTGAAAAGTGAGAGGAAACTAAGAAAATGGAGAATAAAATGCAGAGGTATCAATTTAGATTTATATTCCATATAGTAAGTAAAGCAAGAGGCTCAAAGACAGACTGGCAAGAATAAGTAAGTTTTGAGTAAGCTATAAAACTACAATTAATTTGACCCCAGATGCTTTACTAACCACCTTCCAGAAAACCCCACAAAGCTGTTTGGTGTGTGTTTGCTTTGGTTTTTCTGCTTTTTGTTATGTGTTTGTTTGCTTGTTTGGGACACATGTCCATAAACAGCAATTAGGCCTCAGCCAACTAAGTGCTAGGATTACAGGTGTGAGCCACAGGACCCAGCCTGTCTCCCAAAGCCCCGGTTTTCCTTAATAACGTGTGTGGTATGATAACATTAAATGGGTGTTCCAAAATAAAACTATGCCGTTCAAGTAAATGTCATGTCATGTATGCACAATGGCAGGAGTGGAGGTACAGAAGTCAATACCTTTAATAATCCAAATCCTTTATAATGGAAAGAAGGAATATATACTTTGAGGTGTGTCTGTTAGGCTGTGTCTGTTCCTTTTTCAATCATGTGTAACCCCTGCTGTTCCCAGGGCATTCTAGGTGCCAGGAGGTAGAACTGTTTTCTGTGGATATGTGCCTAGAATTGAAGGATTTGAGTTACCCAATTACAATCTTGTAAATGACTGCACAGTGACAACCACCACCACCCAAGCCCAGCCCTAGCAAAACGCCCATCTCTTAGCATCTTAGGCTCTTTGCACTGGATATATTTTACCAGGCAATGTTTAAGATCAAAGTACCTGGTCTTACTAAAAATTCAAGCATTCATTGTCAAAATTTACCCACAATACACTACTGCACATTTACATTTAAAAGGGAGAAAAACCCCAGCACTCTGGAGGCTAAGACAAGCGGATCTTTGAGTTGAAGGCCAGCCTGGTCTACAGCCAGCCAGCGCTGTGGAGTGACTCAAAGCAAAGATTAATTATCACCTAGCCTGGGGCATGTATGTGGACCGTTTAGCTTCACGGAACAGTCACTCTGGCCTGGGAATGGATCCCATCATTGATCTACCCAAGCACCAAAGCTGCATTTGAAAGCATTTCCTCGGTAACACCACTCCCACCCACCAGAGATCTAAAATGCACAGCTATACATTGTAAACCAAGCCCGGGGAGGGGTGGGATGGGTGGCCAAAATGCTCCGCTAAGGCGGGGGAGAAATTGCCCAAAGCTCACCACACCAATAGAGCAGGGGCGACAGTGGGGTTTCTGAGAAGGCTGGCGCGCACAGGCAACCGGGTCCTGTGCCAGGGCCTTCCCTCTGGCGCTCTCCATCTCCGGCCCCTTTCTCTCCGCCTCACTCCACCCCCTGAAGGCGGTTGGTACGTTCTGAATGACTCTAAGAGCTTAAAAAGGGCCCGGGAGGGCGGGTCCCGCGGATTTGGTCTTGTTCGGTGCGGTGCACTAGACGAGTCTCCGGTGACTCCTAGACTTGAGCCTCGAGCCTCGATACCCTTGCGAGAGCTTTCAGTGCAGTGGGTCCCGGGCGTTCCGGGTCCTGGGTGTGTCGGCTGTCCAGCCTGCAGCCGGGGTCCTCCGCAGCCGGTCTGGAGGGACGCGCCACAGCCCGGCGGGGATGGAACGGACGGAGCTGCTGAAGCCGCGGACCCTGGCCGACCTCATCCGCATCCTGCATGAGCTCTTCGCGGGTGACGAGGTCAACGTGGAGGAGGTGCAGGCTGTGCTGGAAGCTTACGAGAGCAATCCTGCCGAGTGGGCTTTGTACGCCAAATTCGACCAGTACAGGTGAGCGTGCCCGGGCTTCTGCAAAGCTAGGTCCCCACAGTCGGAAGGGAGGCCCCCCGCACACTCACAGGGTTTCTGCTCTCCGTCTCCCTCAAAACCCCTCCACCCCCGCCCCTAGCCTCCAACACAGCGAAACCACACCCCACCTCCGCAGCCGTCTCTGGCACAGCACCACGGGACCCCTCCGCCACCTGGCACGCTCAAGTTCCCGCTGGGCAGCCGCCTGCGACTGACCGCAGACGGTCGGAGGGCGCTCCAGGAGATCACCCTGCCAACCATCAAGAAAACGGGGGTGATGGGAGACACAGCCCCAAGTCAGTCCTCCGTCACCAACCCTGGAATCCCGTAGTGTAAAACATCGGGCGGGTTTTGCGAGCTGGTGCCATCAAGTTCTTCCAAACCATTCACCGCCCGGACTGAGGGTTGGCTCGCCCACTGTCGGATTTTGTAAATTGGGCACACCGCGGCTTTTGCCGCCACCCAAGCCTTTGGCCTCCTCTCGCCCTTGCTTCCCAGAATCTGGAAGGGAAAACTAAATAAAGACCACTACTTTCTGGACCTGCTGGAGGAAGGTGTCTGGTAGGCTAGGACCTTTGGAAGCCTTGACTTAGGGATTAAGTCTGCGCGATCATCAGCCCTCGGGGGCCAGAGTAAACTCTTGAGGTTTCTGTGTGGAAGAAGGAGCAAGCTTCAGTGCTTGTGTTTGATAGATTGGCTAGTGAGAGGAAGCTGGCTGGAGGAAAGGATGACAGAGAATGGGACTTTTCCTCGGAAGTCGTCTCTCCTTAACATGTAACATGTACAATAAAGTTCTGTCAGCAAGGACCGTTTCAACTGTATTTTGGAACTGGAAGTAGTAAAAACTAAGGACAAGTAGGGTGGCATTTTGTGTTTGGGAAGTGGTCTTAAGCAGTCGCCTTTGATTCTGGACACTCAGTTCTGGGGTGGGTCCTGCAAGGGTACCCATGTCATGTCTACTTAAATGCTGGCAAGTAATTGCCAGTTTGTGGGCCAAGTGCTCCTCCAATACTGAAACAAAAGCTGTTCTTATTTCAATGTTACAAGCAAAGACCAGCAGGAAAGGAGTTGGGTACCCTACACTGTGGTGATACATTGTGTACCCCAATAAAGCTTACCTGAGGATCAGAGGACAGAGCCAGGCACTAGATTAGACATAGAGATCAGACAGTGGTGGCACACACCCTTAATCCTAGCACTTGGGAGGCAGAGATCCGTCTGGATTTCTGTGCGTTCAAGTCCACACTGGGCTACATTAGAGAAACAGAACCCGGCAGTGGTGACACACGCCTTTAATCCCAGGAAGTAATATGGTAGGACACAGAAAGGTATATAAGGCATGAGGAAACAGGAACTCAATCTCTTGAGGCTGAGGCTTTCATAGCGCTAAGCTAGTGGCTGGGTGTTCTGTTTCTCTGATCTTTCAGCTTTCACCCCAATATCTGGCTCTGGGTTTGTTATTATAAGACCTTTTAAGATTCGTGTTACAGCACACAACGTGTGTTTCCCCATTATTGTTTGGGAGCCTGCAATAAACAAGGCCACCTGCAGCTCCTTTGGCCTGAAAAACTTACATAGCTCCATATATGTAGATGTATAAAATAAAAATCAAATATTTGCTGAAAATCAACCATTATTTTTTTAATTTGACATACATGTAATTTTATCATTTATTAAAGATTAAAGCAAATATGCATACTAGTGAGGTAGATTGCTTGTTTATTTTTTACATAAAGAAATCTTGGTTGCATTATTTGTTAGTTTGATTTTACATTTGAATGAAAGATTATTAAAAACATGAAAAACAACTGATATGGGGCATGATGCTTGCCCCTGGGAGACGGAAGTAGGCAAACCTCAGCTGCGCTGTGAGTTCACAGCCTGGGCTACGTGAAGACTCCACACCGGCACCATGGCACACACATGCCCAAACACACACATAATATACACAACAATAACACATGTAAAAAACATTGCTATGGAGTCATGCGATGCCACAGGCATGTGCTGCCGGTTACCAATTTATTACACATTACATTTTATTTGGAATTAATTTTTGGCTGTACATTCAGAAATCTTATACTGTTCCAATTTTCCATGACCCCACATTCCACTGTGCAATGCCCAATTTAAGAAGCTGGGCTGTAAACCACCATGCAACTTCCTCTAGGCCTGGGACAAATTCTTTTGTTACAGTAGCATGGGAGATATAGCATTGTCCAAGTGAAATTAACCAGGTCTGCTACAACAGCTGCTGCCCTCTAGAACAATGGCATTGCCTGGGATTTCTCCCTTGATCCAAGGCACAGCTCATTCAGATAAGGGTGAAATCCTGGGTGGGACATGGGTGGACTGTAGAGAGAATAAGAAGAGAGGGAGACAGACGTGAATTCTATAGCATTGTCCTTGGTGCCCAAAAGGATTCCAATCTGTGATCTGGGGGTTGGGAGCAGGGCTATGAGAGTTCCGGTATGTCCAGACAGTAAGTTCTCTGGAGAAGTGGAGTGTTAATACAGGAACCCTGTTTACTGTGATTTAAAGGCTGTGTGTACAGCCCCTTCCTAGGTCATAAGGAACAAAAGTATAAGGGAAGACTAACAGCTAGAAGAAAAATAATAGTACTTGGCTACTCTCTAGAGACCCATGTCCTGCAAGCACCCGGCCCTGAGCCTGGGGGATGGTAAGAAGGACAGGAGGAGAGGACGGCTGCATGGAGAGCTTGAGTTAACAGATGACTGAGTAAACAAATATCACCAAAACAAACGGACGCAACCCTTCCTTACCTGTAGCATGGGCAGTCTGAAACGAATGTCACAACTGTCGGACATTGCTGGCTAGATGCTGACAACAGAACCATGTGGACCAAATTACCGCTTAAGAGTTCAAGTGTCCTTTAGGATAGCTGTTTGGGTTTTGACTTTTTTTTCTTGTAAATTATAATCGTAAACGGTTTAGTATTCTGACCTAATGTAGCCTTGGTTCTGGTATTTACTTCAACCCTCTGCTTATTTGTGCAGAACTTTTCCTGATGAGTGCTTTTGAATGTGTTTGTATTAGGGCAGAGTTCTAGAACAGTCCTTTAATGAAACTTCGGTCCTCAAAGCCTACTAGAAGGGAAAAAAGCCCCAAACAATAGCAACATTCTTTTCTGGAGTAATAATGAACTTTCTAAATACCTTCCGTGAGAATGCTACTTTTTATTAGTTTGAGACTGATAAGCATGGAGAAATATGAAATTTGGATTACTTTTTCCCCTCTTATCTTTTCATGCCGGTGGTAAAGACTGAGCAGATACCTCAGTAAAGTCAGCAAATCAAAATACAGAAAGGTCTTGTCATTCTGTCTAGACCAGGAAAAGTACACACTGCAGAAAAGTCAGAGATCAGCTGTGAAAAACAGTTTTCATTTGATCTGGGCTCTGAATTTGAACGCTATGTTCAGGTTTTATTGGGGTAGAATTTGAGGGTGGGATTCCTGCTCCTATACACAGTAGAGTAGGTGGTCCACTGTGAAAGACTGAGAGCAGCTAGGCCTTTGACTGGCGTCTGCCATTCCTGGGAATGTATCTGGAGGCTAAGTACTGCTTTCTTTAAATAATGCCTCCCTTGTTTTAAAACAACAAAAACAAAAAATGCATACTGAAGTGGTTCACAGTTTGTTTGGGCTAAAGGAAGCAAGCTGGTGCTCATTTTTAGATGGCTTTGTGAATAAAACTGAACTATAGCTTTAATTCAGGAATACACGTTAACATTAAATGAGTCTGAACTATTGATAACAAGAGAAAAGAGGGTTTGCATAGGAGCTTTTATGGCTCCATGTTCTGTCTTTTCCTTCACAGTTTTTGTTATTGTTTGTTTTTGGGGGGTTTGGGGTTTTTTTTTGGTTTTTGTTTTGTTTTGTTTTTGTTTTTTTGAGACAGGGTTTCTCTGTAACAGCCCTGGCTGTCCTGGAACTCAACTTTGTAGACCAGGCTGGCCTCAAACTCACAGAGATCCACCTGCCTCTGCCTCCTGAGTGCTGGGATCAAAGGTGTGCACCACCATACCTGGCTCCTTGATGGCTTTTGAAAAGCTGAAAATTTGTTTGGTTTGGTTTTAGGTGTTCTGGTTGCTTTTTTGTTTTGTTTTGTTTTGATTTTACATTTCCCTTATTCTTGTTTTGTTTTTTAAAAGAACAACCCCCCAGCCCTACAAATGGCTACTTAACTTTTACATTTGAATGAAAGATTATAAAACAGAAAAATAAATAAATAAAGCTGAGAGCATAAGTGATGCATGGAGTCCCAGCACTTGGGAGGTGGAGGTAGGGGGACCAGGAGCTTAAAGTCATCCTCAGCTACACTGTGATTCACAGCCTGGACTATATGAGGCCCTTGTTTAAGATGATAATAATAGTAAATAAAATAGTAGTAAAATATTTTTATATTTTAAAATAGAGGTAAAATAATAGTAAATGTAAATGATACTTTTTCTAGTGCTTATCTCAGCAGTCAGATGCAAACCAGCATAATTTGTCTTTTTAGGTACACCCGAAATCTTGTGGATCAAGGAAATGGGAAGTTTAATCTGATGATTCTGTGCTGGGGTGAAGGACATGGCAGGTAATCCAACAGCTCCCACACTCCAGACATTCCCTACGGTTATTCCTCCCTCGGGGCTCCTCCCACCATTGGGGTTCCTCCCACCTCAGAGCTCCGCCCACCCTCGGGCTCTGCCCACCCTCGGGGGTTCTTTTCTACTTTTCTTTGATAAATCTATGGTTTGGCTGGGCATGGTGGCACACACCTTTAATCCCAACATAAGAGCAGAGGCAAGTGGATATCTGAGACGTTCGAGGTAGTTACAAAAAGCCATATGTCACTACTATGAAGTAACGTTTTGGTGTGTACTCTATACTAAAGTGAATATGTGTTTGTGATACTTTGTTACGGAAGTTGCGGTTAGATACACATTGTTTTCTATTTTGCATGTTTTATCAACTTCTTAAACTGTTAACTTTTTATAATATGTTTTTAAACAGGTATTTAATAATCTCAAGGTTCAATTAATATTAAGTTATGGTGTACACAGTAAGTTCTAGGACAGTCTGGGCTACGTAGTGAGACTCTATCTCAAAATAAATATTTTAAAAATAAATCTGTGTTTTGCAATGCTCGGAATCAGATGCATGTCTCATGTTACTAAGAGAGCACTCTACCCTCTAACACTGAACTATGCCCCAGTCCCATTCAAGGTAGTTCTTAGTGTCTGCCCAGCATGTGAACAGTAAGTAGTGTCAGGTTGCCACCAACTTCACAAGGACTAGCAATTCACATTTTAGAATTATTTGTTTACATTGCCCACTAACCTCAGCATGGAGTTTGTGTGGGGGGTAGGAGTCAGGCATGTACCATGTACATTAAAATCACCCCCACCACTCCCACACACACACCCAGCCAGCATATGGCTCAGTGAATAAATGTGCATGCCACCAAGCTTGATGATTCTCTCCAATTACTGGAATCCAGAGAGAAAACCAACTCTTACAAGTTGTGTACATACACACACACACACACACACACACACACACACACACAGAGAGAGAGAGAGAGAGAGAGAGAGAGAGAGAGAGAGAGAGAGTCAAGAAATAAACAAATAAATAAGAAAATGTAAAATAATGAAAAAAAAACCGCCTCCACCTCAAGTGAGTAGTAATTCAAAGGAGGCGAATAGTTACCTTAATTCAATGTCTCTGTCTCTTATGGAGTTAAATTGTTTTGGGAACTCTGCTTAACCCTGACCTTTGACCTTTGCGGTATGTGAGATGTGTCAACAACTGTGGGACCAAAGACCAAACTGGCAAGATTTGGAGCTAGAAAAACATGTCACAAATTCAGGAAACTTCTGTCTACCTCTCCTTAATTGTTCAGCTTCTTTACCAGGAAGGCAATTTACACCAACCCCAATACTTGTAAAATGTGTTTCCTTGTCTTTAGTTTGTACATTTGTTACCAACTGAATAATTCGGTATTTTTAAACAGATCTCTCAGGTTTTGTCAAAACAATAACCAGATCCATTTTGGGTGAGAGAAAAGAAATGCAAAATTACAAGTCTTTCAGATGTTGAATCTATGGGGACATTTATTGATGAAATGGGGTAGCTGTCAGTCATTTTCTTGGTAGTTTTTAAAAACAGATTAGCAGGGTTAGGGTTAGAGTCTGTGGACTCAGGAAACAGTTCCTTTTATGATACATTTAAACATTAACAGAATTCAACGTGACAGAAATGCTAAAAATTATATACATTTATATATTTTAATCAACCTGGTCACTATGATGACTTCATATACCTAAATACTTTTTGCTCTAAGATCACATGAGTAAATTCCTTTTTACTTAATATGCAGTTTGCTTCCTCCCACCAATATTGGAAGGTCATCACAGGTAGGCCACTCCAAGATTATCACAAGTAAAAGCTACTCCTGTAAAACAGTAACACTATATATACCTTGCATCATCATTTCAGGGTGATAAGTATGTATATGCGCATATATACTTTCTCCCACCCACACAAAGAAGAAAGGAGGAAAAGCCTATGGGGAAAAACACAAACTATTAAATGATTCCACTGTGGTACAATTATTAAAGATGACTCTATTTGTTCTTTCAAAAATTTCTTTAATGAACCCCTTCTCCTGTGTGCATATGTGTGTGTGTGTGTGTGTGTGTGTGTGTGTGTGTGTGTGTGTGTGTGATGCCAGAGATAAGAATCCAGGACCTCACATATTACACAAGCACTCTTCCACTTCTAATATTCTTTCATTATCAAGTTCCAGCACAGTTGAGATGAGTTATTAAATGCTGCCCTTTTCTGGGCATGGTGTTATGCCTGTGATCCCAGCAATCCCGTATTCCTCCCTTCGGAGAGGAAGTCATGAATTGTAGCCCAGTCCTAGCTGCATGATGGGACCTGTCTCAAAGACAACCATAAGCAAAACAAAAAGACAAAAACAAAAACAAGCAGACAAAAAACTGTGTCGGGGGAAAAAATAAAAGGAAAGGTTTCTGGGTTTGCGTTTTGCTACCAGATTACAGTTATAACATTTTCAAAAACATAAGCTCCTCTTTAGTGGGAGCTTACATCTAATCTGTAAGTTACATGCCTTTGATGTGGATGATGTGTTGTTATTGTGCCCAGAACGATGATGCTGAACTATAAACTGATAGATGTAAAAACACAGCAACTGAAACAAATTAGGTCCTGAGAGCTTCTTGACCGTGTATCCGTTTCAGCTCAGTCCATAGGGTTACTGGACCAACCACTGAGTTCATTTGTCATTTTGTGCATATATAGCAGTATTCACGATCACACGGACTCCCACTGCTTTTTGAAGATGCTGCAAGGAAACCTAAAGGAGACATTGTTTGCCTGGCCCGACAAAAAGTCAAATGAGATGATCAAGAAGTCAGAAAGAACCCTGAGGGAAAACCAGTGTGCCTACATTAACGGTAACACCCTATCCTGTGTCTATGAGCGCATAGAAAAAGCTGAACTCTTATCTGTGCCTGTTGATGGAAAATAGTTGGAATATCGCCTAAACACAATGAGTTTCTAAGGCTTTAAAACAGGGTTGGAATCGTTCATTCAAAACATATGCATGAAGATTGTCATTTACCTGCCAAAACTTAGAACAGAGATAGTGGGATATGAATTTATACAAAAGAGTTGGGTCTACATGGGAAATGTATAGTGTGTTTGTATTAGAAAATGCAAGGACATGTTCTGGAAGTGATTAAGAACATTGGCTGGTGCCCATTTTTCTAAACTGCATGCAGCATACCTAAAAGACTTTTCTCAAGGGAAATTTTGCAATGTATATTCTTGGGTAATGACTTATAGATATCTTACCAAGAATTTGTTCTTTCCCCAATGTCTGCTGGAAGAGCCAAATGCTCCCCAGGAGAGGCACTGAATTTACTTCTATTTCTAAAAAGGATCATAACTTTCCAAAAGTTCATTAAAACATATGAGAGTCATAATTTTTGTTCTAATTTATAGATGAGATTGCCAGTACATATGAAAATTAAATAACTTGTCCGGAGTCACTCAGGTTCTAAATATTGAGCCAGTATTTGAATCCATGCAGTTTGAGCCCAATCATATGCTTTTAATCAGCATGCTGTCCTGCTTATATAAAATAAAATATTACAGTTTTCCCCCCTGGCAAGCACACCACTTCCTTCATATATCTTAAAGTCTAGTGTTGGCCTTGCTACTTGGCTCAGATTTATTAGATTATTAGTTTAGGAATGCAAATCACTTACAAAGATCAGATTGTATGGGAAATGTTTTCTCTTGTGTTCACCTCCCCGAGTGTGTGGGTTTCCTCTGCAGACATTTTGTTTTCTCAGATATTTGAGGGTTGCTATATAGAAGGTACACCAGCTCTGTAAGAACAGACTTGTCACTGATACCAGAGCATAGTAAAGCTAAAAGCCTCTTAGGATAATTACTTTCAGCTGGAATCAGAGTCCTTGAGAACGCACATTCCATCTGGAAAAGAGCTTTGTCGGGGGGCTCCAGTGCAGAAGCCTGGAGTGACCACAGGCACAGTGAAGGTGGATGCAGACCAGGGACAAAAGGTTTTGGTGAGGAGCCGATGAACACTAAAGGGACAGCCGTGGCCACCAACCCCAGTGAGAGAGTCCTGATGCTTTTTCCATAAAAGTGTGAAATTCTGATTTTTAAACCATGCGGTGGTGGTGCACACCTTTAATCCCAGCACTCAGGAGGCAGAGCCAGGCGGATCTCTGTGAGTTCGAGGCCAGCCTGGTCTACAGCGCAAGATCCAGGACAGGCACCAAAACTACACAGAGAAACCCTGTCTTGAAAAAACCAAAATAAAAAAAAAACCTGATTTTTAATGTTAATTTTTGCCAATTGGTAAAACGGGTGAGCTATACTGAATATTTTTGTAGACTAATTACTGAAATCTGTTAAAAGCTTCCCAACCTCCGATTTTCACAGATTAGGGGTGGACATGGATATGATCAGGGGGAGGTTCCCAGTCCAGGGAAGGGCACAGTCCTTGCAGCGAATGGAAACTTGAGGAATGGGGGCCAATGGAAAGAAGAAGGAAGATAGAGTGGACAGGAGGTATGAGGAGACTGTAAACACGATCAAAACACAAGCCTCCAGGAGCAGGAGAAAGATGAGATGTACATGGGAATCTCTTTACCCATTTGGTAGCAACATACAACATAGCGTGGAGGCGAGAGAAGAGCTGGAACAGAGGCCCAGGAGTTTGCTTCAGTTGGGAAAAGGTCAACAGGACCTTGGTAAAAATCACCAAGAAAGGTCTAGTATGACTGTAACAGAAGGTGTACCAGGCACATAGGGGAGACAAAGGCATAGATTCAAATGTTGAGACTATGAACAGTGAGGCCCATGTATGGACCTTGGGCTCTTCTAAAGGATGGGTCACTTGATCTGAGGGCCTTTGACTCCGGGATTGTCCATTAGGAGCCGGTTGGTGTGGGCGCCTTCAGTTAGAAAAGCCAAACATTATTTGTGTGCAGAACATTCAGTCAGCACTGAACGCTCATTCAAAATTGTGCATAAGCGGGTGCTAGATCATCTTGGTTTTATTAATATAAAGTGTTAGCATGCCACGTAACTCCAGCACTCAAGAGGCTGAAGGAGGAGGATTTTTTTATTTTTTATTTTTTTGCAAGTTTTGAAGCAAGCCTGGACTACATAGTGAGTTCAGTGTCAGCCTTGGAGACACAGAGAAATCCAGAAGAGAACATTGGGCCAGGGATAGTGGCATACACCTCTAATGCCAGCACTAAGGAGGCAAAGGCAGGTGGATCTCTGTTACTTCAAGGCCAGCCTGATCTACAGTGTGAATTCCAAGACAGCTAGAGTTACACAGTGAGACCCTGTCTTAAAAAAAAATGGTAGAGGAGGTGGTGGGGGGATTGGTTTTTTTAATCTTCCTGGACATAGTTCTCCCTGTCTAGATGAGTTATCTCTAAGCCAGGACTCACTGTCAACTTATGAGTACCCTGGATGTTATCTAAGCCTTCCCTTTGCTTTTTCCTGTGTTGGAGCTTATTTCCTGAACTCATGTTTTCTTTGTTCTTGGTTCACAGTCTTGTTTGGGTAAGCATGTCTTCAGGTGTCTCTTTATGAAAGGAGTCTTGGACGGTCAATTTTTGAGACTTCCTAATATCTAAAAAAGAAACAAAAAACAAAAACCCTGTATTCAAATCTTATAACTTGATAGATAAATCAGCTGGATTTGGATTATGACCTGTCAATCATTGTCCCTCGGAAGTCTGTATCTTGATCTTTTAGTGTATCCTGCTCCTGTTCCTGTTGAAAGTCATGGTCATTCTGATGCTTAACTCTTTCTCTGAAAGATCTTCTGGAAATGTCTGGAATCTTCTCGTGTGGTGCCTGCATGCTGTCCCATGTTGCCTCCCAATAATAAGGTCACCTAAGGACTCATTGTTTTCCTGGGTGCCTGGTTACCTTCAGTTTGGACACTTATGCCTATCAATCCATGAAATATTCTCATGTCGTGCCTGTGGATCGTGTTTCTGAAAGGCCTCTTGTTTGGATATTAAGCTCCCTGAACGTGTCCTTTGATCTTTTTCTCTTTGCTATTATTTTAATCTTTGTCCTTTGATTCTTTGAATCTACCTCCACTTTTTTCTGCCAGCCCTTCTGTGCAGGCTTTGTTTTATTTGGCAATCCTCCTGCCTCTGCTTCTTGAGCATTTCTTACAGGCATGCACCACCACAACCAGCTGTCTTTCTATTTTGAGAAGCCTTTTTGAGTGTGTAGCTCAGCTGGTAGGGTGTTTGCCCAGCATGCATGCACAAAGTCCTGGGTTCAATCCCTAGTCCCACATAAAGAAAACCGCCCCGAACTTGGGAGGTGGAGAAAGGAGGATCAGAAGTTCAAGGTGACCCTGGGCTGCATGAGATCATCTCTCAAAGAAGAAATAAATAAAAACAAAAATTGTTTTGATTCCTGCTCCCTGCTGGGTATTTTGTCTCAGGAAGAATGCTAATAATAGACTTTCCCAGGTCTTCTCAGTGTCGTGTTTCAACTTGCTTTTCCAGGCTGCTCAGGCCACCCTCTGTCTTCTGTACTAGAGGCAAACTCAGTTGTGTGCTCATGTGTAAAATCCAGGGACAAAAAAGTTCACTGGTGGCTTTGTACACAGGATGGGGCTTGTTGACAGGATCTCTCTCCCTCTCTCTCTGAGGGTCAGGCAGAGCCCTTTAGCAGAGAGGTGTGGGCGGCAGGATGGGGAAGGGCTTGTCTATGAGCTGGTGAGACTCCTTCCAGAGTCGATTCCGTCTCTGCCTGGAGAAAGAAGTCCTGGAAGACTCTGGCAGGTCAGGAAAGCAAGACCCTTGCCATTCACACGTGATTGTTGTTTCATTCACTTGCGTTTAATTTGGTATCCACCAGTCCTGAGTTCAGCCATGGTGCTCTTTCGAGTTCTGTCTTCCCCTGGGGTGGGGAGCACGGAGGGGAGGGAAATGGTGAAAGGGATTTGAGACCCTACTTCCTAAACAGCCTTTCAAGCAGTCAGCATGTTTAGGCCCTCAGTGCTTGGGATTGCCAATTCCTGAGCTATCTGAGAGTTTTGAAATAGAGTTTCTTTCTTGGTTTTTTTTTCCCCTGAGTAGTTTAGGATTTTGTTTTCTTTTTTTTTAAATGAAACTACCTTTTAAGCTTTCAAGTTATTATGAATGTTTTCTTTCTCGCTATATTGTATCTAGTTTTAGTCTTTCACTGAAATGTGAGGCCGTTTGAAGAAAGGATGCCTGCATGGCCCTTACTATCCATAACAAGCAAATTAATTCCAATGTGTATTCATTCCATATTCATCAATATCAATGAAAGATTGTAGGTGATTAAGAAACTCTGCCTTCAGCTGCCATCTTGATTCCTTTGTTGTTTCCTGTCCTCTTTGGTCTGGTCAGATTCCATCGGATTACATCGAGTAGAGAATGTCAGTCACACAGAGCCCGCCGTGAGTCTTCACTTGTACAGTCCACCTTTCGATACATGCCATGCCTTTGATCAAAGAACGGGGCATAAAAACAAAGTCACCATGACATTCCACAGCAAATTTGGAATCAGGACTCCATTTGTAAGTATAGTTTCCTGGGTTCAAATGACTTAGAAGGGGCTGGCGAGATGGCTCAGATGTTAAGAGCACTTGTTGCTCTTGCAGAGGACCCAGATTCAGTTCCCAGGATCCACATGGGTTCCACATCATTCTTAACTCCAACTCTAGGGAGATCTAATGCCAGTGCCCTCTTATAACCTCCATGGGCAGGCATGCACATTGTGCACATACGTACATGTAGGCAAAACACTCATACACATAAACCTTTTAAAAAATGCATGACTTAGAGGTTGGCAAGAGTGTGTTGCATGTAGACTTTTATTGCCCTACGTTGATTTAATGTGCTGGAGAGATGGCTCAGGAGCTCATGGTTCTTGCAGAGAACCCGTATTTGGTTCCCAGGATTTATTCCCAGAAACTTACAACTGCCTTTAACGCCAGGTCCAGGGAGATCAATGCCCCTGGCTAACGTGGGCACCTGTACTCACATGCACATAAGTACACATTATTTTAAAAATAATAAGCATTATTTAAATATGATAAATCTAAGCTACTCTTGAATGAAATCTCAGGGTAAAAGTCCAGTCTATCCTTATTATTTCTTAAACATTGGAGATAATTTATTTTTTTAATTAAATTAAATGCAAAGACTTGTTTCTTGAGAAACTTCCATGTGCATGCTCATTCCTAAAGAAAATGTTTTCTCCACTTGAGAAATAAGACTGAAGTCTTTATTGGCCTGTTTCCCACTTAAAATGTTTATAGGTTGAGTTAACTCAGACATCAATAAATTGCATTTGCTGAGACTGTTCTGAAGTCTGTGTTTTGACTGTCACACATGCTAGCTAGTTCATTGAGATGTGATGTTCTTTAGATCACAAATATATTGAGATATGCTATATGCTAAGACATCATTCTTGAAGGACAAGCATTTTCCCCCATAAGGCAACCAATATTACTATGGTAGAACAGTCTTCTGCTGTTGGTGAAATAAATTGGGATGGTCTTCATTTAGTCATGAATGAAGTACATGGAAACTTATCAAGAAATAGTACATGGAAACAGGCTGCCATAATCCTCAGGTAACTTATTGTCTTGTTTTACCTTTGTCTTCCATGTTTGGAACTCTAAAAGATAATCCTATCACAAGAAGAAAGCCATAAGGCTCCACTGCCATGGCTGGGCTTTCAAATTCTGCTTGAGAAACAAGACCACTTAGATAGAGCAGTGGTTCCCAACCCTCCTAATGCTGCAACCCTTTATTGCGTTCTTCATGTTGTGGTGACCCCCCCCAACCATAAAACTATTTTTGTTGCTACTTCATAACTGTAATAAGCTACTGTTGTGAATCATAATGTAAATATCTGTGTTTTCTGACAGTCTTTGGGGGATTACACCCCACATGTTAAGAACCACTTACTTCATGCCTTCATGCACAAGCCTTCATGCCTTCTGCAGAAATTCTTACACAGCTTTCTCTTTTCCTTCCTTACAGCCAACTGCAGGCTCACGGGAGAACAACTAAGGCATACCAAGTCCTGCGAAGTTTTGCTTCTGGGTCCTCTGAATGTTCACTTTGGGCAGAGAGGCCACCCACCATTTGCTGTCCAGTAACAGTTCAACAAGCCCGTGCTCGGTTCTTCTGCAAAGTGGGCGCTAAGGAGGCAGACGGTGTCCTGAGCTACGCAGGAGAAAAATCCCACTAAAGAAAATCTCGAATGATTTGTAATGGCCAAATCACATTGTTCCAGGTTCTTCTGTCCTCTAATCCATGGAAACTCTACTGGGGGGTTTCACTGGGGGCATCTCAGCCTTTGGTAACTCTCTGGTCTCAGAATTGTAATAATCAAGTTAAAAGTCAGAAACTACAAACTATCAAATGTCTGTTTTGATATACCTGGAAGACTAAATGCAGAAATCCTTAATATACTTTGTATGTTCTTAATATCTGACGGGAATTTTTTTAATCTGGATTTTATTTTTTCAAGCCTATTTGACAAATTCCTATCCTATGGAGAATAGGGAAGCACATAGAAGTTTGCTCCTTGGTAGTGACCAGCAATGGTTTAGAAATGCGCATGTACCCAGACCTCCTGCAAACAAAAAACTGAAACTGTGTGTAATGTGTCCCCCTTTGTACTGCCACCAAATTTGCCAAACAACTTTAATAAAATTGGATTTGAGAAGTAGACGTTGCTTTTTAAACCATATGATAAAAATCATCATATAAACGATGGTTTCTTAGATTTAGATAAATAGATAAAATACCAAAGCAATGTAAAAGATTCTTTGGTTTGGGAGAAGGTTAGTGTGTGTGTGTGTGTGTGTGTGTGTGTGTGTGTGTGTGTGTGTGTGTGTGCTGCTAGCAATCAAACTCAAGGCTTCTTCCATATTAGGCAAATACTTCACCACTGAGGTATACTCTCATCCCAAAAGATGTTCTTATGATAAAGGCTTGTGAAAGCCAAGGAGTTACATTCAACAGCAACTTGGGGGTTCTATTTTCACTAATTGAATACCAACACAGGGGCGGTCTTGCCTGAACATTGCATGTGTGTCTTTGTTTGCCTGTGTTCAAATGTGACTTTGTAGCCAACACTTAAACAGGGAAAACATTATAGAAGAAGATAGATTCTTAACATCTTAAACCTTGAAGTTGTCTGGCAACATTAGGCTGTATTTTCAGCTAGGGGCTCCTCCTGAAGAGGTCATCACTCCAGCCTGCTGCAGCTCCAACTCACCTGTTTCTATTTATGTTACCCTGGTTGTCTACATATGCGTTTAAGTTTGCTATCCCAGGTTTGAACAATTCTCTTAGGGACGTCTCTTATCATCTTGGAGTAGGCATCTTGGGACTCAGTTGGGAAGTAAAGTCTTTTCTGGAAATAGTTTCTAGACCTGTCATCTCAGATGTACTTACAAAAACTTCTCGTCTTTGAGGTGGATATTAATGCTTATTGAATGCTTACTCCATAGTAAAGATTATTCAGTTACTTGGGCATAACACAATTCATTCTGGAAAGCAAGCCTAATAAATTAGATGCTATTATTTTTCCCCTGTGACTACAGTATGCCACAGACTTAGTAGCCTAAAGCAATGCCAATTTACAGTTTGCTATCAGCTCTGTCATAGAAGTCTAACAGTTTTGCAGTGCTAATCAGGACTTTGCCCCTTTCTGTAGTTTCTGAGTAGGAATTGTTGGATTTTCCCAGCCTCTTGATTCTGCCCCTTTCTATCTCCAGAGCCAGCAAAATGGCAGGTTCACTGTGGCGGGGGGGCGCTACTCACACCCCCACATTTCCCCAGAGTGCCCTTGAGTGAGAGTTGTAGGAAATATTAGATAGAAGGATTTAGAGTGTGGAGATAAACAGATTGAAAATACAGGATAACATCGAGAGGACCTGGAACCTATTCCAATGGCCCCTGACTGTCTGCCCTAGGATATTTATAGAAATGCCAAGGGGTGGAGCAAAAGACCTCCCCCCAGCACCGCCAAGTGCAGACCATCTCAGACACGTGCACTCAGGCCCATTGGTCTAATCATCCTCTCTATGCAGACCTGCTGAGTAAGCTACTGAAAGATGAAGATGGGCTCCCACAGTTCACCTCTACACACCATCACTTCCATTACCTTCTACTTCTGTTTTCTATTTTGAGGGACTCCATGGTTGGATAATGTTTCCATCTCAAGGTTATGCCCTTAATCATCTCTCTTGCCACAGACCGTAACATTAATAGACCATCAGGATGTTGGTGTCTTTGGCAGGGAGCCTTCCTGTCTATCCCAATCTGTTCCCTGGCCCCCTCGGTGAGCCCAGCCTACCTCAGACACTAGACACAGTCTGTATGGGTTCTGGGAATTGAACTCAGGTTGTCTGGCTTGGGAACAAGTGCCTTTACCTGCTGAGCCATCTTGCCAGTCTGGTATATTTAAATATTTAATAGATAGCACCTGTAATACACAAACGCAGTCACATCCTGTATGTGACATGCATGCAATATGTGAACTCAAGGATCCTCGTGAACCCAAAACCCAGCCCCGATGTCCCTGTCCCCAGTCTCTATGACTGGCCCTGATCTCTCTCTCATTTTTTTTTGTATAATCCCTACAGGAGCTGCTCCTTGCAGGGCTCAACATTCACTTTGCTCACCGACTGTCAGCACCTGTGGCAAAGCCCCCGATGATTTTGGAAGCGAGAAAACATTTGAAGGAAGCAGTCATGCTTGGCTGCTAAAAAGAGGGATGAGGGGGCAAAGCCTTGTGGGCCAATGAGGTGGCTTAGTAGTTAACAGTGCATGTTTGGTGCAAGTTGGTAGAACTGTTTGGGAAGGAATAGGAGGTGTGACCTTGTTGGAAGAAGTATAGCACCAGGACTGGTCTTCGTGCTTTCAAAAGCCACATCATTGCCGGTTAGTTCTCTCCCTGCCTCGTGCTTGTGGAGCCGACGTGAGCTCTCAGCTGCTGTTCCAGGACCATTCCCGCCTGCCTGTTGCCACACTCTTCACCATAATGATCTGGAACCAGGAGCCTTCGAATTAAATGCTTTCCTTTACAAGTTGCCTTGTGTTTATCACGGCAATAGTTAAGTAATAAGACACTGTGAGAACCTAATCACCTGAATTTAACCCCTGGGACCCACAGTGGAAGGAGAGAACTGGTTCCCAAAAGTTGTCCTCTGACCTCCACACATATAACATGGAGCATGCATGCACAAATAAATAGAAAGAAAATGAAAGGGGAAAAGGATTCAAAAGTCAGGTCACCTGAACACCACAACAGGATGCTCCCCACTCACCGGAGTATGCTCCACGCCACCCTCTCTGTCAGAAAGGACCCTTTCTTTCTGCTCTCTCCATGTATGGCTCATTCACACCCTTCAAATTTCAGCTCGAATGTGGGGTGCTGTGTGCGCCAGTCATCTCTGGACTGGGGAGGCTGAGGCAAGAGGACGCAGAGCTCCAGCTCAGTCTGGGATTCATAATAACACCAAGTCTCAAAATGAAACAAAATTACAGAGCAAACAAATAAGCAAAAGTTCCACTGAGTTAGGCTGCCATTCCCCATCCCAGAGAGGACTTCTCCATTCACCCTACCAACAGCGCAGTCTCCAGATGCTGTCTGTCCAGCTCCACGGAGCCGCTTTCGGAGGATGCTGTCCCTGGTCCTCACTCATCTGTCGTCATGAAGATCTTGCTGACAGGACAGAAGCTCCATGGGGAGACTGATTTCCTTTACTGCTGGATTCGGAGTATGAAGACACACAGTAGCTGCTCGGTATTTAAGAGATGCATAGAATAAACTCCATTTCCTCCTTACACAGTAAACGGACATTCATGTATCCTGATGGTACATTCTTCCCTATGACCCACCAAATTAAATGAACAATGTTATTTCTGTTAAATATGTCAATTCCAGGGATTTTTTTAATATACTGATTTTCTTTAAGGTAAGATCTATGTCCAGTGAATCATCTTTTGGTATGGGTTCATCAATCACACATTTAAACAAACTAAGCTGATGAACCTTTAAGAGATTTTTGAATATGATTCATGGGAGAAGGAAGTGTTAATTATCCTATTTGGTGTCTTTTGATGAATTTGAGAATCTTGGATGCAAAAGAAAAAGAACACCAGAAAGAAACCACCCACAATTTGTACATAACTTCAGAAAGAACTTGTGGTTCCTCTGGAGGTTCTTGGGGGTCCTAGATAAAGATTTGGTTTGGGATGGGTATGGTGGCATATGGCTATATCATCTCAAGCACTTTGGGTGGGATGGAGACAGAGGGACCAGTTCAACATCTTCCTCTGTTACATAGTGAGTTGGAGGCCAGCCTGGGCTACATGAGACTCTTTCTCAAAACACTACACATGAAAGTGAGCATGGCAGTCCACACATTTAAACCTAGTACTCAGGAGGCAAGAAGTGGGTGGATCTCTGTGAGTTCAAAGCCAGTGTGGTGTACAAAGTGATTTCCAGCTAGGGCTATGAAGTGAGATCTTATCTAAAAAAAAAAAAACAAAAAAAAAAAAAAAAACACTCAAACCCCACAAATGAAGTAATGCTCTAAATAAGTGATATGCAAGCCATGACTCATGGGAAATAATGGCTACTGGGCTTCGTTTTATGAAATTAAAATGGCATTAACATGAACAAGAAAGGCCAACAGTTAACATTTCTTTGTTTGTTCACATGGCTTTGTTGGCTTTTGCTGGCTAGCCTGGAACTCAATTAGTAGACCTGCCTGGCTCTTAACTCATAGAAATATATCTTCCTCTTCCTCCCAAATGCTGAGATTAAAGGTATGCATCTCCATACCCCATACAAAACACGGTATTTTTCTAGGTATCCCACACTGGCCTTGAACTCACCACACACTGGTTTCTAGGTCCCTAAAGCTGGAATTGCAGAAACACGCCTCCAGCATGGCTAATTACACTTTTTGTTCAGTGCTGAGGATCCAGCCTAGGGCCTTGCACATGCTAAGCAGGTGCTCTACCACTGAGCCATATCCCTAGCCTTTTCCAGGTTACAGAGGGGTTTCTAGAAAACATCAGAAGCATGAGCTACCTCATCTGAGACATGTCCACACATTTCACAAAGATATGTCCTCTCTGTCTCTAAGGAAACCTCAGACATTCATAACTTTATATCTATCTAACCGGCAGGTGTTTAGAGAAAAAAAAAAATACACGTGGAGAAATGACGTAAGCCAGCCACAGGAAGACAAGTATTGTAGAGTCTTGTATTTGAAGTCCCTGGGATATGCTCATTCATGGAAACAAAGTAAAAGAGAGGTTATTAAAGACCAGAGCAAGGAGGGCTAAAGATTTATTATTGAAAGGATAACAGAGGTGGTGGCGGCATTGATGAAATGTTTGGATATCGATGGTGGCGACAGGTACACAGCGCTGAGAACGCATTTAATGCCACAGAACATGAGCATGGGTGAATGTTTAGAAGAAAAAATACTTTCTCATCACAGTTGTTTCAAACTTTATATTTGGGGGCAAAAAAGTATTTTCTGCGTGTTTTGGAATAGGTAGGACACAATGACGATCAGTAATGAAAAGATGTAGAAGGGACGTGGTGGGATCTCAAGCCTTCCAGCTACCAGGTATTCCGTTTCCCCCTTTAGAGGCAGCCAGTATACCATTTCATGTGTTTGTTTATTTCTTTCCTCCATT